ATTTTGTTTGTTTTTTTGTTCTTATTTGCCATAGTGAGACATTTGGCATGAATACGTTCGTGTTTTCTCCTTATGTTTTGTGTTCTTATTTTTTTTTGCATTTGATCTCTGTTCTTAACAACATAGACTAATTGTTTTTCTTTTGTTATATATCTACTTTATTTACTTTCTCGTTTTCTCAAAAACAACAAACCAGACGTTCCGTACGGCGTGTATTGTCACATATAAAGCAAAAAAGAAACAAAACGTCAAACATTTATTTTGTAATTGTTACTCTTTCTCTCTGTTTTTTTTTTCTTCTTCTCTCATTACTTCTTTCCTTTCGTTGCTTCTTCTGCTCCGTCTTCCTTTTGCGAGTACAAAAACAAAACAATTATTATCTTTCGATGATGCTTCTACTTCGATCTTTGCCTCGATGTTGTCACATGTTAATACATCGCTTTTGGTTACTTCTTGTATTGTGTATCTATTTTCTCTCTCTCTATCACTCTCTTTCTCTCGTTTTTCTCTTGAACATACTGAAAACTAAAAAGCAAACAAACTGAAGGAAATAATATAGTGGATAAGCACGAAATAGATCTTTGTTTAATTCAATTTTCGGTTCAATGATTTGTGTTTGATGTCGAGAATACTATTCGATTGATATTGTCATGCCGAATTAAGATAAAATCTCACCTATTTCTCACTTTGGAAAAAACAAATCAGGAACTCATTCGATACTTTTGTCAAACACGCTCAACATGACATGTATCACCGCTACCAATATCAAGATCATGTTTCTGTTTATTTACGATACCAGATTGTAAGCCTTAGGTTGTATTCTCGTTAGAAGGATATGCATATCGATGTTCAATTCGATTGGCGAACCATTCAAATATGAGATATTTTCTGGTTGAACAATTTATGAATATGTTAATGTTTCACATGACCTCGACAAACGAGGTGATTTGATATAGGGAGTGAGATGTTGAATTACTGATCATTTAATAATCTGTCATTCTGATTTCCGGATGTTCGAGGTTGATCACTTTGCTTTAATCGCGCAATGTCTACAGGCGATATGATATTTACAAAAAAGCAAATATTCTAAAAATAACATTGAGAATGTTCCGTTCATTCCTTAGTTGAACTCGATCGATTGTTAGACAACAGATAGACTTAATGAGTTTCATTATGTGTTCAATAGAGAAGTTAATTTGCGCGTTAGTCTCGAATTCACCGTCGAACTGAGAAAATAGCAATAGTGAGATGATCGGATTGCATTTGCATACATTTAGTTATCGATAATAAGACTTGTCGTGTACAGCATCAAAGTCGATTTATTTCAATTAATGTCCGAGATCTAATTACGGCAAGTAATGTAACTCGACGACAAAGTTCTTAACAGTATTTTATCAAACGTACTTCTTCCTTTCAAACCAGTCAGCAAGATTTTAATGGAGAAATAGCGAGAAGAAGAGCCTGCAGGCTTGTCGATCGACGTATCGAGTCTAACTTGAGCTCAATGAGCAGAATTTATTTCCTATTCAAGGTTAATATCGAAACAAGCAAATGCACTGTTCACGATTAATAAATAATAAACGTAGACAAATGTCATTGTAAATGTCTTATCATTACACATACTGATTAATATTATATAAGATTCTCTTCGTCCAGAGAAGCGAAGAAGACGTAGGACATCATTCGAAGTTAATCAACGTCAAATGCATACATGAATAATTAAGACGACGAATTTTCATGCTAAATACTTATTTACAATGCTTACTTGCATCAAGCTTTCTTTCCTTCACTTTATTGATTAGCTTCGCGGGAAATTCAGTCTTTTGAACGGCAGTTGGATATATCATATTACCATATTAGTTATTAAAATGTCATATTCTCAGTGGAATATGTGACTAATGAGTGAGTAAATAGAAATTCAACGATATGTTCGATCGAATCAATTTTCGATCGAGGGAGGAAAGAGAAGAAGACCACAGTCGATTTCAAATGTATGAACTAAATTCAATTGTTGACATCTCTTGATTATTCTAGGGTCCAAATGTCATTTATCTCGAGTTAATTTCTTTTGCCTGTTTGCGTGAAGATCGAACTTGTATGCACGCAAGTCTTAAATGACTTTTCTCTCGATAGCCAACACCCTCTCAACTTCGATAAATGCTTAACTAAAAAGATTATCATCGCTGCTAAGTTGTGTATCTACGCAAGTCATTGTCGCCTATTTTCCTTTTTTTTTTGTACGTTTTTTTATCATTACTGTATGCTTACACATCAACAGTAATGGATGGGAAGGAAGGAAAGAACATTGAAGGTCTACTGGAATTCATCATTAAATATATCGTATGCAAGCCATGCTGTCGAGGAAGGCGTAACACCGAATCGAAGAAACAGAAAGAGTACAATAACAACATAGAATAACAACTACAGCGAAAGAGAAAAGAAAGAAGGGATGAGTGGTTGTGGTGAATGCACGTTTATGTCGTTCTTCTCAACGTCGTCGTTCAACGGCTCGTCTTCTATCATGTGCTAAGCGAAGAGAAAAAACGATGAGAGAAGAGAAATAGTACTACTGAATCTCAATTTCTCGTTTTTTTTTCTCTTTCCTTACTGAATAATTGAACGTATATACATGCATGCACAGCTCCCGAACGGCGTTAATAGTAGTGCTGTGATGTATAGAAGTGAAATAGAAATGGGAAAAGAGGAAGAGCAAGGCGCGGCGAAAGAGAGAAAGAGAGAGAGAGAAGCAAACTTTTTTTCTCCTCTTCTTCTTCTTCGTCTCTTTTTCTATATGTGGACCCAGATAGACACAGAAGCCAACAAGAAAGAGGAAAAGAGAAAAAGAAGCTAAAAATGATGAGTAATTATTATTGATCGTTTGTCGATACAAAGATGGGTTGTACGAGTTCGAAAGAAAATACAAATCCGCCGCCTCCAACAACAACAACAATATCGGATAATAGTCAACAATTGATTAATGATCAGTTTCGTAAATGGCTAAAATCTAATCGACCAAAAGCTGATGAATATGTTCTTAATGGTATTAGTTCTCCGACACAATCAAACAATGATATCGATGATTATCGTCCCATAGTTCGTCAAGCACTTGATCTGCTTATTGATCGTCACGATATAAAATCAACAAATAAGTTAACAAAACTTCTACACAAGGAAATACCATCTGCATCTCCAAAGAAAATTGAACGCACGATTCATGTATTGAAACAAACAGCAGACAAATTACGTCATGGACAATTGTTACTTGATAGTGATCAACAGCAAACAACTGGATCGACTAATGGAGAAGTATGTTATCAACAAAAAAGACATTTTTCTTCTAAACAAATGAAATTTCTTAGATAACCAACGGTACGAAAGCATCCGACAATAAAGCAGCAACAGGCGAACCCGGTATTGTTCTGAAAGAAGCGTTAGAAAAAGCGCGTATATCATTCTATAAGGTAAAAGAACTGACGAGTCCGTTTTCTCGCGCAAAAGAAAAACCGACACTTTATTTCTTCTTTGTATTTTGTCAGGGTAAACAAGCTGCTATATTTGCTAATCCAAATGGTGGCTATGACGTGCGAATTATCGATGACAATGACGATACTTTAAATCAAGATGGAAATCTTCTCCGATCAATTATTGTTACCGAAGTAAAAATGCGGCCAAAGTCTACTCTAGGAACATCAAGTATAAGCACACATACACCATATTTGACTTCTTCTGCTCCAGCACCACCGCCCCCATCAGCACCGTCGAAACTACTCGATGAACATGAAATTGGTGACGATTTTCGTCGTTCCATTGATGCCGCTCTTAAAGGACTCGAATCTATTTATCAACCCACACCCTCATCTGAACGTACCCAAGAGAGTCGCCCTGATAAAAGAGCATCATCGACTGTAACAAAATCAATAACAGAAGATCATACAGCTAATTTAGCTGAAATTATTCATCAAGGGAAAGCAATTACAAATATTGATGAGGAAAAAGAACGAGCGATTAGTCAAACTGACATTCAACCTAAACTTGTTGGTGCTGTTGATAATATGAATGAAATTATGATTGATACAATTGAATCAACGACTCGAAGTCAAATTGGTGAACCTGTTCCACCATTACCTACTGATACAATAAAAGAATTAGTTCTGAATATATCTAATGAAGAGAAACAACATGAGCAAAATCTTCCGACAAAACGAGTTGATTTGCCATCAACTTCATTTTCTTCACAAAAGCCTGATTTCAATCAAACTCATACTCAATCAACTGAAGAGCCAATCGTCAATGAAAATTCATCAGTGCCACCTGTTGTCGGTTCTGTTGATACAAACACAGCAGTGAAATCGGCCAGTCATAATGTGACGTACACAGAAATCATTCATTCGGAATCGCATGATGGTGAACAATCACGTCGTTTTATGACCGAATCTTACGACGAACAACCGTCCGCGCTCGATGACGATGAAACAACTTCACGGAAAATTATAACGAAGTCCGAATTTTCCAATCATCCATCATTAGGTGAGAAAATCATGGAACAGAGCGTTCAAGTCATTACCGTCAAAGTGCGAAACGAAACCATTACAACAACGAATTCATCTCCAACATCCGACAAATCGTCTCTTCCTCATGACACTCATCCGACAAATACAACGCTTTGAAATCATCTTTTTTTGTGCTTTTTTTCTTTGTTTTCGTGTGTGTGTGTATTTCCTTCTCTTTCTCTTAGGCGCGATAAGATTTGTCTTGGCTTATCTCTTACTGCGCAATTCTGACTATTTTTTACTATTGTCTGTGAGTATACAAAGTTGAAATGAATGTCCTGAGACAAAAATTTATATAAATATAAATATATTTCATTGTGAATCGAAATTCAGTTATTTAGAGTTTTTTTTTTCAAATAAAGGAAAGAAAAGCTTGAAACTATGTACGATTCCCAATGCCAGTAGGAACCACGATCTCGAATATTTATTTGTCTGAACCAATTTAATAATCTATGCTAGGCTGGTATCTGGTATAGATTGAAAAAAATACGATGCACGAAATGATGACAGATTTTCATCTCGTTTCGTGTTCATCGAAAGATCAACAGCTGAGGGTGAGCTCATCGGCGAAGGCATTTCATTAATATAACTATCAATTGATGACGAGCGACCACATTGACTATTTCGACGCATACTTGCATAGAATTTTCGCGCTATTTCCGATGCACGTTGGCTATTGGCGGGTGACGAAGAAATTGTAGTTGGTTTCTATACGCAGAGAAGATGTGTTACAAAAAAAACTACGAATAAGTTTGTCTTACTCGTGTCTGTTTAGGTTCTGTAGTGGATTCTTTGATGGATGGTTGTCGTTCAATGTTCGCCGTTCGAAGATTTTTGACTAATGTATAGAGTTTTGGCGATTGACTTTTCGTGGGTTTGTAAATAGATGGCCAATTATACGAATAACTCGTTGGAGAATATTTTTCATCCGTTGAGTGTTGCGCTAGAAAATATAGAAAATTCTTTCGGATTTACGCGGTTTTGCTTTTTGATGAACTGTGAATTTTTTTTCTTCGTAATGAAATGAGTAATCAAGTGGAAATATCATCTAATTGAAAAAGAAAGATTTCGATTGTTTCAAAGTCATCCACATCAACAAAAAGAGATCCTTATCAAGAAATGACCTCTTGTATGAAGCAAATACTCAAGTACTATTCGAGGAGCCATTCCAGTACGAGTATTAAAAAAAAACTTACCTGTTTTTCGACGAAAGAGACGATTGCATAGAAGTCGTACTTGAGAATGACATTTCACTCGTATATAACAAACTAAGCCAACGATAATTATTATACTGAGTAATAATAATATGCCTATCCATAACGGATGCAATAATTCGTCATCTTGATTAGAATATTTCTCAATGGCTCGCATGAATTTTACGCGTGGGAGTTCTTGAAACAAAATGCAGACTGAAAATGATCAGTAGAGATGTGTTGTTTGTTTTCTTTTCAACTATTCATTCATCGATTGACGATACTTATCATTTGCCAAAACATAACGTGAAAATAATCTTTTCAGACGGAAGCTATTGTATGAAAAATAGAACGATTGTTAAAAGTCAGATAGAGAAAAACAGGAACGTGCGATTACTTTTCTCTTTCGTTCTATTTTATTTACGCAAGACGGAATGTTAAGAGAATTACAAAGTGAAAGAGTTTGCCATTGCATTACTTCGATTAATTTAACTAACGGACCTCTTCATATAAGGATTGTCTATTTTTACACTGTGTCTCATTGCCTACCGTCAGAGTTTGTCTGTCATGTCTCATTATAAAAGGATGAAAATTCATTTTCTTCCATGTGAAATGATAAATTTATCTCGAAGACTATAGAATCTCGACATAGTTATTTGTTTTCATTACATATTTCAAATAAATGACAATATACTCAAAAAAGAAAATGAGACAGAGAGAGAGAGAGAAGAAGAAGAGGGAAAACCTCGCGAGTTGCAAGACAATGTCAAAGATAAGAAAAGAAAAAAAAGAGACGTACTTATGAGAGAAATAGAAACGAGATGAAGAAAAACAGTTGAAACAACAAACACCATGGATAAACGAATACAAACATAAAGAGAAACAATTGAACAAGAAACAAAAAATATCTTCCACTCCCGAATATAGACTGGATGCTGCTGCGGCTGGGTACACAGAAGAGATAAGAACTGTTCAGAAGAGAAAACAAAATCATGAGTATCATTCACATAATCGCTAAGCGATATATGAATATCGGAGAAATGAAATGGTTGCGATTAGAAGTAAAAGTGTGTAGGCGACAAATTCTCATAATAATAAATAAAATATTCGCGCTTGTTTGTCAATAAAACGAGGAGAATGTATGCACGAGCACAGACAACAACAACATTGTTCAAAGCACACGCACATAGAACAAATACGATAAATAGAAGTAGAAAGAAGAAGAAGAAAAAAAAACAAAATGCATTGAAGTAAGTCTATGTCTAGATTCTATTACTGATCCATTGACTGGCTACCACCACGAATTGTTGGAATCGGTGTCGAAGTATTAGTTGATGGATTGACACCAGCCCGAATAGGTTTAACTAAAATAAAACATATACCCATATATTGATATGCGGGGAGAAGAACGGAAGTTTCATAGTTAACTAGTTGAAAAGCTTGATTAGTGAATCCATATATGCTTATAGTCTCCTGCTAATATCTTCATTTCCTGTTTCCGTTTCATACCATTACTATTATTCATATTTCCTGTAATCATCTCTCTAACCCTATAGCAATCATCGGAAACAGCTGTTTTCTTCGGTCCAAGCTTATGTAATACAATCATCATTGTTATTGTTGTTTAATTTGAACAATAAAACGCCTCTCGGAATGTTTCACTTTCGATTTTCAGAAATGTTTTGTTCATGATGTATAAAATGAAAGTATTTTGTTACCTATCTGAGCAGCATTTGTACGTCGAGCGAGGTTTCTTTGTCTAACGGCTTCTTTGATTCGATCAACTTCAGATTGGTATCGTTTCCGATCTTTCATTGCACTTTCTTTCGCTTCTTTTAATGCTTGTTCCAACGATTTGACTCGATCCATGGTCGCTTTCAAGCGTTTTTCTAATTTCGGTAGTTCACATCGAAGGTCGGCATTTTCACGCACGAGCTAATCAATCGATTTCGATTTCAAACAAAAGACAAATGCAAAGTTTCTCTTTACCTGTTTATGAACTTTGGTCAATTGATCGAGATTATTTTCTAAAAAGGAAATTTTTTGTTTTTGAGCTACGGTACCGCCCAGATCATCATCTTCCGCTTCAGGTTGTTTTTGTGACTAAAAACAGCGTGTTTTGTCCTAGAAGATTCTGTTTTTAAACAAAAGAAAGCGAACCTTTTTCAGACGAGCTTGCAAATCTTGAACGAATAATTTGCGTAGATTATGCAATGTTTGCAATTCTTTCGCGACTGTTTCTTCTAAACCTTTCAGATCTTGTTTAGCTTGTTCACGACGTTCTTGTTGTAACCTGTCAGATACGAAATAATCGTGAAATTCATAGAGAGCAAACACAAGCTGTATTTACGTCATTTCTTGTAATCGACTGGATTTATCCGTTTCTTCTTTTTTCAATTTGTCATAATCACCCGAGAGTTTATCATATGACAATTGCAGTTTTTGTAATGAACTAAAAATCAACATTAGGTTTTCAATAGATAGAAACAAACAAATGAATAAGTACTCTTTCAATGTTTCCATCTGAGTTTCTTTGCCTCGAATTTCTTCACGTAGAGTAGTCAATTGTTTTTGATGTTGTTCACTAATTTGTTGCATTTGTTGACTTAGTTCTTTTTGAACGTCCGATGAGGAATCAGTCACACGGCCTAAATGAAACCTGTTAGCAAAGAATGACGATCGGACTCGATTTTTACCTTGTGCACGAAGTTTGACTAATTCTTCATTTAATGAATCTTGAGTTTGTTCAAGTGTACGTTTCTTCTCTTCTAATTCTTTCATCGATTCGAGCATTGAGCGCATCTTGGCTTCGTGCTGTTGAATTAACAAACGTGATTCATCTAGTTCTTTATCTTTCAATCCAATGCCTTTTTGATGATCGACTTTTTCTAATTCTAATTCACTCAAACGCTGAAAAAAATCCAAGAGGAAAATCCCGATCAGTAATTGAACGCTGAAATGATAACTTACGTTACTAATACTTCGTGCTTCAGTCTTCAATTTGCTCGTATAAAGACGTGCTAGTGTAAATTCTTCTTCAGCTTGATCGAGATTTTCAATTGTTGGTTTCTGAAGACGAAATTTTTAGATATAAATTGATATTCACATGTAAAACAAACCTTCTGCTCATTCATTTGTCCACCTATGATACTACCAATATCGCCAATATCACGTAGAAGTACGAGAATCATATCAAGAAAGCGTTTTCGATGTGTTTGTGATGCTTCACGAAGGCTTTCTAATTCTTCCCCAATACCATTCAATGAAGCCTAATACGAAACAAATTTGATTAAATATAGTTGCAAAGGTATAAATACACACCAATTTAGCATCGAGCTCTTGGGTCAACGTTTCATTTTCTTTACTTTTAGTTTCAACTTCTTGCGTTTTTTGATCATAATTAACTGCAAGTTCTTCGAGCGCTTGTAAGACTTCTTTAACTTCTTCTTTAGCTGATTCACTTTCTTGTTGAAGACGATTCAGCTCTGCTTGAAGATTTTCATTATCCTTGCGTGCTTGACTGAATATATCGTCTTGTTCAGTTGTTTGAGATTTAAGTCGTTCGATAGTTTGTGCCAAATTATTGATTTCATCGTCCTAAAACAATCGAGCACGTGTTCAGTAAATAAATATTCATCGGATGATTTCCCTATTGACAAACAACAACGTCTCGCATATGGAATCTATTCTGATAGATACAAAAAAGAAAACGACTCATGTGTCCTTTTAATGTGTTTAATTATATCGACATATAAAATGTCAAAGAACAAATGTGTTTCATCCGTCATTAATATGAAAATCTCTGGTCTCTCAAGAGACTGTTTCTTTTTCTTTCAATGTAACTTCATACCTTTTCATCGAGTTGTTGATAAAGTGCAGTGCGCTCCTTTTCCCATTCGTCAGCATTAATTGGTGAAGCGACTAAAGCAGTTAATGTATTAGTAACACCCGTCGTGCTATCAATAACTGATGTTGAATTAGCAGATGATGTTGCAACTGTTGATAACGACATTAACGACTGAGTTGTTGATAATGTTTCATCGATATCATGTAGATTAATTTGTTCGTCTTTTGTCACAGTTTCACCTGAAGAAAACCATCGAGCAATGTTGGTTTTAATGTTCTAACATGATCTTACCGCGTCTCCATCGTTCAAGTTCCATTTCGGCTCGACTCAATTGACCTTTCAATCTAGCTACTTTCTCGCGTTCTTTCTCCCATCGTCGTTTCCATTCTTCAGCTGTTAATTCCTCATTAACAGTAACTTGATTCTTAATACATTTCGCTCTAAACAAACAGCAACAAGTTCAGCTTGGAAAATCTCATTTTCATCGCACCTTTTGCCGAATTCTAAAGTTGACTTGGTTTCTGATTCATTAAAACTAGCAGGTGAACAACATATAATAATTGTTGTACGCGCATTGCCTCCAAGAGATTCTTGTAAAATACGTGTCAATTTTGAATCACGATAAGGAACATGAGATTTCTAAAAGTACACAAGTGAAATTTTGTTTTCAAAGTCAAACAATAACATACAGTTCCATCTGCTAAAGCGGATATAACATTTCCCAATGCTGATAACGATTTATTGATATTTTTTGCTTCGTCAAGAACTTGACCTTCAGCTCCGGTCTTCGAAACTTTTTCACTACCAGCTAAATCGACCAGATAGAGTTTTCCGGTTAATTTCTTTTCATTTTCCACATTTTCTTGCTTGACATTGATGAGAAAAACTGAATGTGATCGAGAGCTATGTTCATTCATGTTGGTTACGGCGATATGCCGATTGTTCTTCCCTTCTTCCATTATTTCAAAAACTTCATCCGGTGATGAAACGAACCGCTCCGTAACACCCTGTAATAGAAAAAAAAATCAACATAAACTTTTGCGAAAGCGCCGTTGTCTCCATCAAACTAACTTTAACATAAGGTACACGATTTTTATCTTCATGAACAGCCAAATTCGTTTTAGAAACATCCAATAGATCACGAATTTTGTCGAGATAAATTTCGAAGTAAGAAACTTTTATTTGAAATTGCAAATTGGCATCCAATGTATAGATATGATTGAATATATCTTGAACTATGCGAGGAATAATACCCTGTTGACCATCACTACCCATCACACCCTAAGAAAGAACAATGCATTGCAATAGACTTTCTGTAAATCAAATTACCT